GTCTGATTGCACAACAAATCTACCCAGTCGATCTTTTTAGATGTAGCACGTATAATTTATCAAATTAGTAGATGCATTTCACTTGGAATAGCTATTTCCGTGTGTAGGTCGATTTTGCGGCACACAAGTGCCCATTGAATGAACAAGGCAACAGTAAGACCGGTTTCCACTCTCGAAGGGAAGCATATATGAAGGTACCTGAGAGGGGTTTTGCTCAGTTGTAGGTCCCGGCATGTGGTCTTAAAGCACACCGGGGCCTCTGTGTTGGATTTGACCGTTTACTTTTACACAGATACGCGGAGGATGAAGATCTGAGGTGGCGAGGATACAACCCTTTACTAGAGAGTTCGAACAAGTCGTTGTGTGACGTCTGCGGGTGCATACTCGTTACTGAGGTAAATGAAACAGCGTGAGTCATATACTTGCTAATATTAAGACCTAGATGTATGTTATTACACGTAGCGATAATCCAGGATAAACATTCGCACTAAAGAGGTGTGAGCTGAAGTTCAGCTCGGCTGACGGCATGTGAAAAATGGAGGGGGCGTGTGTCGGAGAGTGGAGAGATCAGATTAACGAGCATGAACCAACGCGATTCACAACAGTTTCAACTACGCACACTCAAAGAAACCGCCGTGATTGGAGCATTTAGGGGAAACGAGAGCGCAAATGATTCAGTGACTCTAAGCAAACCAACAGAGAAGGCCAGCTGGAGTGAAAGCCTTACTTGTCACATACCACACAAAATTTCAATTGGTTCACCAGGAACGAGCACGGCAGGTTGGCAAAAAAACATTCGTCTTTATGATCACGATCACGCCATCCTGAGTGCCCTTTGGACACACAAATAGCAAAACTGCGTGTACTTTCAAGGTGAGATCTGTGTGAACTGCAGCTGCATCTTGTGGACTTAGAAGTGGCTCAGGATGGTGTGACAATTGTCACTATAAACGATCCGCACTAACTCTACCCAATGGGCAACCCGTCAAATGAGAAATTGCTCCCACGGAATCAGGTACATGGCCACGGATGGGGTTTCCACACGTTTTTTAGTTAAAGTGTGCATTCTACCTCGGGAATTAGTAGCTTAACGGGACGTTTCTTGCACTGCGGGCTCGCAGTCGAAACGCACTGGGAGTTAATTAGCCACCTAACATAGGCTATAAAAGCAAATTCACACGCGTTCTCAGAGAACTGAGAGTTCCTCTGGCAGTTGGCACCTCCACGCGTTTGTCCTGCACCCAGGGCCCCGAAGTAGCGATGCAACGCGCTGAGAAAGAACGACAGTTGAGAGAGCGGCTTCACATGACGCCTCGTGTGTGTGTGTGCGCGCGCCACACAACACGACAGCGGCCTCTCGTCTGATCTAAGCAGGGGTGCCATGAGAACGCGACCAGAGAAAAAACAAGGACAACGACGGGTGGGAACCTAAAACCGCTTCCAACAGGGCAACTACGACTGTACAGTGAGGCCAACTCAAATCCAAGTGTAAGGAAACCGGACGAAATAAGGTGTATAGATTGATTTCGAGAATATGAAGCCCTTCAATAGCCGGGTTCAGGCCGCGTGGTTCACGCAGCACATCTCTGAAACACCTGCTGTAAATTGAGCGATGGCCCAGCCCACACTCGCAGCCCTAAGACACGACGCACCAACAGCTGCGCTGATAATGCGGAATGCGTCCGAGAGGCAGCTGAATGTAAAAAAATAATTTGCGGCACAAAACGGCAGCCAATGAGGCTGCGCGTCTGGTTTCAAGGCCAACATCACATCCGTAGGGTTGAAAAAAAAACACGAGGCTAGCGGAATGCTGCTCGTAAGGCGAAAAGTCAAAATCGCCCAAGAAGGCAATAAGTAAATTCGCCATTGAAGCAACAGACAGCAGTAATTTGACTTTTTTCTAAGTTTGCAATTAAAAATGACACAAGTACAAAGTGGCACCAACTGCAGCAAAACAACGCGACTGTCGGCCAACCGTATTCCAAGGCACTACACAGTCAAGCGCGACAGCGCACACTGACCACATCAGGAAATTCACCTGCTTCTTCGTTTTTTTTTGATTTTTTGAACTTTCAGTTTACAATGCTTCACAAGGACTTGAGCCCCTGTTGTTAATGCAAACGAGTTTATAAAACTCGGGGCCTTGTTCCAATTTAATGGCATTGCAAAGACACAAAAGGCGTCCATTAATTTCCGCCCAATTTTCCGAAAAGCACAGTTGCGCAGAACAGCGTGTTTTTTTCGCCATTCTGGCAAAAGGGCAAGCCCATTTAATTGTATGCAAACGTGTGCGCTTGACTGCATCAGCTAAACCAACGGGGGTGTTTTAAGAGCGGCGAACGCAGTGTGCCGTGTTATTTAGCCCAAGGCAGCAATAGCCTTCATAGCCTCGAGCAATGACGGCGACGCGTCGTCAATTCGTTGCAGCAATCGACTAAAACAGTGACTTCGCTGCACGGATTGAAAAAGGAAAAGGACGTCTAGACAACAAAATAGCGATCGAATCGTTTATAATTGGGGGAAGTGCGCGTGGAGCTTTGTTAGGCCCTTCAGATTCAATGCAAGACCTGGTTTTTTTAAACTAGATGGCTACGTGCACAAACATTGGTCATGGTTTATGGTGAATAATGCAGGCAGGCAGACCGGACGCTGACCACAGGCAGACACAAGACCCAGTCGACTTCCGCTAAGCCATGAGGTCTAACGTTCACATCAGACAGCCAAGACAGCACGTTAATGGGTGAAGGCCAATGACGTAGCAAATTTTACAAGTTGATGATCCTAACTGAGGAACTCCGCATTCACAATCACAGGGCCTGGCGATGTCAAAGCTGCTACTTCAAGCTAAGAGTGGAAGCAGCACACACACACACACAGACACACATAGAACACCAACGCACCCAAGAACTCCGGCAGAGGCATGCAACCAATGAAGGTGACGGGAACCTCAAATTCGACCTTCGAGGGCGCTGACTGGGCGCCGGTTGCGATGAGCTCCGAGTGGTAGGGCGGTGACTGGGCGATCCAATCGGAGCAGGAAAGCGAGGCTCGAAGCGCCTGCTGCAGGCTCCCCTCCTCGTCCGCATCCTCCGGCTCGGGGCTTCCCATGAACTGCAACTTGGGCACGAGGACAAACGGTTGTGGCTAAATAAACCGGCGAAAAGGTTAAATTGCTACCTTTTTGCAGCAACAGCAAGCACACATCCTGCTTGGCCTTAAATCAATGCATAATTGGATGCATCTCGTGGGGGGACGGGGGGAGCAAGTTCGGACAGCTGCGATGACGAGTTGCAAACCTTGACAAACGACACTGTAAGCGTAAGTGGCAGCTGTACATCAAAACTAGGGGCGGGGCCTACTGGCAACAAACCGAGGTGGGGTGCCCTAAAGTCGAGGGGGGGGGGTGTAGCAGCTGCCACGTTATTTCCGCATAACCCATTGTTTTACTATACTGGTTTTGTCGGAGCACTATTCAAAATGCCCAATAGGAGTGAGGACTCTATTATAAACTGTACTTATTGGCGTAGTATTTATTGTTTAAGATAACCGCCACTAAAATCTACCGTGACGAGTTGTTTTTGCTGGTCTTCGATTTCATTCATAGGGCGTGTCTTTACGACCTGCCAACAACAAATAATAAACAATATCCGTGTAGCTAAGATGTTGGCAGGAGACGCGTGCCTTGTTAATTTTCAGATAGGAAAGATTCAGCTACAATATTGACCAGAGAAAATACGGAAAAAAGGACGCTAGCTCTCTGTAACAGTTTCTCTGATGACAAAAATGCAATGATAAGCTGAGCAGCCAATGTCGCGAGAATAGGGCGACGTGCGACTCGAGGGGGGAGGGGGCACGAATTTACGTGCCCGGGCAAAACGCTGGCAGGACCTCCTTGAGTTGTTTGTGTGGATTCGGCATGTCCGCGCTTGCGCGGTTGACCGTCGAGCGACACAACGCACGCGTGGGTGCTAGAGGCGCGACAGCAAGGTGGCAGCATCGGTGCTGCGCGAATGCGATGGCACAGGGAAGCCGGATGAGCCTCGACACGTCTGCTCAAGTGCAAAGATCTGCGTTTCGATCCATGTAAGACCTTGACGATGCCCCTGGCCGACAAGGGCGAACAACGGACGCGCGACGAGTGCCGTGAGGTTGCGGAGCTCGCAACAAGCGCGCCGTAGCCCAAGACTTGACAAATACTTCATGAAGCAAAATTACATTAGCAAGGGGCAAGAGTATGCGGTCTCTTGCGATTTGGTTCCTCAGTGCAGTTTAACAAAATGGGGCCTGAGAGACTGTAGTAACTGGGATCGTTGGGCGACCAATAGTTAATAGCCTTGGTTATATTCAAGCAAGTTCCCGTGGGACATTGTGAAGGCGATCGAAGCCTTTGCTAGCGCAATCTTGTGTCGGCCTCTACAAAGGCTGGCCGTGTGAAAGGAAGACGACGAGCACGATGCGGCAACGTGGTTGAGTTTGTAAAAGTAGCCCACCGACTTAGCGCCTTGGGGCGGGGGCGCAACGGGACACTGCTGCAGGTCACGGAAATCGTTTGAACCAAGCACGCTACGTTGGCAACTGCGGACAAAGCGAAGCCAAGATGAGTCGCCGGATTCGACAAGACGAGGCGAAAATGGCCTCTAAGAAGAGGCGTGTTTTCAAGGCTGTGCGGTTACCAATTGACTCGTAAAAAAATGAAGATTAATCAGCTTTACTGCGTTCTGCGATTGCAACTTTGCGTTGGTGTGAAGATACGCTGCTAGATAGGGCTTAGCATTGCAACCGGAAGCGAGAACAGTCGGTGTTCGGTGGTGATGCGGCGGCCGGCACATGCCAAAACACAGCGTGGAAGTGCATCGGAGTTGGAACAGAAACGCAATAAACAGAAGCCTGTTTAACGCTACAAAGCTGCAAAAAACACACCGCAGCTTGGGTAGACGCTCTGGGCGAGCCGACGACCAAGCCAGAATGAACTTGCAACTGATGCGATTCGCAAATGTCCACGGCCAAAGCGAGAGGTTAAAGTCAGACCGGCAGCGACAGACACGGGAACTGCCCCTATTTAAAACAGCAACAAAGCAACCGCCCACAAACACCTTTCCACTGTGGGACAAGCGACAGATTCACAGGAAGACCCTAGACAGAGAACATGACATGGCGAGGGATAGGCATGTGAATAGGATAGTGGTGACACGACACATCGACGCCACCACCTTTCGAATGGACAAAGCGTCAGGCGAACAATGGTCAGTGATAAGCAAGACGTACCTCCTTCTTAAATTTGAGATCTGGAGGTGGCTGACCTGTCCTAGCCCAGCTGCTAGTATTCAGGATGACGTTTGAAATTGTCTGAATCCACTGAAATGCGAGCAAAAGGCAAGATCTTTAAAAAAGGCGTATTTTCGACACACGGTTATGGCTTTTACAGAGGTTTACTCGAATCATTTAAAAGAGCGGATGTTGTTGTTGGCCAAAAAATCGAACATGGCACTACCATTTACCACGCAAGTAATTAGCATGACATTCTGCCTCTACTTGTTTATTTAAGTAGACATCATGAATTTTGAAAAAAAAAATTCAAACGATTACCTCATCTCGATCGGTCGAATTTTCGGCTTGAAGAATAACGCTCCTACAAAAAACGGAACCGACATTTAAGTATGGCAAATCTAGTGGAAAACGAGCACCTCACAGTAAGCAGATGGCGAGAGGAGGTCACACGGGTTGTCCAACTCACCGTTTCTCGGCAGCGGAGACTATCTGAAAGGTGTACCTGCGATCGTCAATGTCGACGGGCTCCGCAAACACACCCTTGCCGTTCAGGTTTACCAGGACACCTGCACCGAGCTAATCCCAAAAAAGAGAGGCACATCAGCACTGAAAAAATGCCATCAGCTGTTCGACAATGACCTACAGGATAATTCTAATGTGCACGGAAAACACACAGCAAAGCACTATCACGGACTCCAAGTACTTGGCTACCGCGTCGAATGCACTGAGGCATTAATGATTTCATCTACCAATGGCGAGGCCACTAGCACATTGCCATGCACCCAATCATGAGGTGGAACAATTTGCATTTTTTTGGGGTAACGCTTGGAGCCGATGAAGACGACAGGGCGACGTGAACACCTACACGTCGGTTCACACCAAGCGGATGGACAGACGACGTGAGATTGTTGGGCAGGAGTGGAACCGGCTGCAGCGGGTCGAGTCTAAGCAAACTAAGGAAGCAAAACGAGCACTCGCTCTCGCAAGAAGCATGGCCAGTTTGCATCCCAGGTCCAGATGAGACCGTAGTCACTGTCCAATCAATCTTGGACCAGCCCTGTTATGGCAGCTGAGAGAATTTAGGCACATGCTTCATTGGGACAGCAGGCCGGTTCACACAGTGTGGGGTAGTAGCACGGATTCATTGCCCCATGATTGTACACGCACACACAAGCTGGCCACAGAGACTCAAGGCAGTGCAACCTTACGTCGCCCTTTTGCTGACAAAGGAGGTTTCCGCCCTGCGTGAAGCAGTAGACTTCATTCCAGTCAAAGCCGAACGTCTTCTTGACGCGCATGTACAGATAGCCGCTCTTCGAGAAAAGACTGGTGTCCGGACTGCGAAGGTAGGACTTGTCTACAACAAGTTGGCCAAAAACAGGCTCTTACTGCAAGGGCAAACGCACAAAGGCCCTTACACAACTGTAATTCTTAGGCTTTCTTACAACTGAGTATACACATCTCCCTGCAGCGTGAGTTTCCATGACGGGGGGAGGGGGAGGCAAAGTAACTTAAAGCGTTCTCTTTCATTTAAAAAAATAAACCTGCAAAATAGGTGCTTAAAGTGACGCCCAGGGCAGGTTCGAAGGGGGATAACGATTACCGGCATGGCAGACCTGGCGAAACTCTAAATATGACGCGCACAGCACGCTTGGCAACTGCCGCTTGGTAAAAACCAGACACAGTAGGCGCCAATGTTCTGCGGCTGAGCAGAGCACACACATCAATGTGCTCACGAACGCTAACATTGTGGTGTAGAGCACACGGATTCCCCTAATTCAGACACGGATTGACGAACAGTGTGGGTGGGCATCATACCTGTTTTAGCGAATAGTGGCTCCGGTGCGAACAGAGCAAGCGGCAGGCTCTGGATGTTGGTGAGGGTGTTGAGGAACTCTTCGGTGGCCTGAGTGGACTGCACTTGTCGACTGAAACAAGAAGGACCAATCAGGAGTAAGCACGTCAACACAACCGACGGTTGACGTGGCATGAAATCGCGACGGAGACCCACCAGTCGAATTGACTCTTGATGACCTCGCTGAAATCCGTCAGCGACGTCTGCTCCGCCACCTCGTTTATCTTCTTCGAGTGGTTCCTTAAAGTCGTGAGAAAACCGAAGAAGGCGTTCAGCGGCACCATCTCTCGTTCAAAGTGGGCAGCGTTAAGGCGCGCGTGGTAGATCACTGCCGCCTTTTGAAACATACGACGATGCTACAAAGGAAGGAAGGCCGGTGCAAAGAACTTGCCGTGGTGGTCTTCTAGGATGGAAGAAATCGGTGTTGGGGGAGAGAAAAATTTAATTCCACTTGCACTGGTTTGGGACCCTGTGCAATAACTTGTGATGGAGAGAGAATTGAGCTTGAGAAAAATATTACACAGCCACAGCAAACACGCACCACTTGGTTTATGCGCGCCGTCGTGCTGGGGGCTAATCCGACAGTTGCAATGCGGGATAGGTTTGCAGACGCTTTGATCTTTACTTTTACTATTTCGTCGGACATCATTTAGGAAGTCTTTGCGGGCTTTCGGCATGACAGATCCAAGGGAAAGGCAACCTCTACGGTGTGCCATGTAGTGCCTCTATGGCCGGAGCCTCCTACTGACTAGCACTGCAGTTAGGTATTTCGACAAACACGAAATCGACACCCACGGACAAAAAAAGGCAACCTGACCCCAAGAGCAGAGTCTACGTCAAGTTGAATTGTCAGAACCACGTTCTCACATTTGAAATGCTCGCACACTTTACTGAATTCGATCGTTTGGTTGTCGTTGCAGTATGGAGACTGTTGGCTACATGACGCACCGTTAACAACGCAACTGAATCGGAGGTCATTTGAGCGCTGTCCTATCACATTACTCACCTGCGCCCGATTATGGTGTCTTCAGAAGTGGCAGTGATTAACAAGGAAGTCTTTAAACCGCAATGTTGCAGATGAGATGCGCCTTATTCCCAGAGGCGCATGCCCACAGACCAATCAGGTTGCGGCTTTAGTGCACTGAGACCGTTAGGAAAGCACGTAAATGGGTCGAATAACAAAATAGGAGCAGGTTACTTGACTAAGCTCGATGACAGCATCGTCGTGTTCCTTGGGTGAGCATCGACGCGTCAGTTTCATGTACTTCGCGAGAGAAGCATGTACCTCCCGACCGCAGGACTCGACGTTCCTGTGCGTTGCCGGGAGGTCAGAAAACAGGATGCTTCCCGAGGAATCGTGGAGTTGCAGACCGGGCTGGCTGGGCAGCTTGTGCGGCGGCATGAACAGGGTGGTGCGCAGTTCCTCGGCATGGGCCCGATGCATTCCAGCCAGCTAGAAGCAAGTTACGAAGGTGCTGCTTAGAGCTAAGAGGTAATTATTAAAAACAGGGATAAGTGATTTCGAGTCTTTGCGCGTACCTCTTCTAGAAGACTGGAAAACTGGAGGCAGACGTTCTCGAAGTCCGCGTTTTTCGGTTGTACTGTCAAATTCTATAACAGCACCGAAAATTCTGAACCAAAGTGGAGGCGCAAGCAACAACATGTAATAGGTCATAAGTGAATGAAATGCGAAATTCATAAACAAAATAAACGTTTTCTTTGATTGACTGAAATTGAAAAGTGCAGTAAACATTTAGGCAATATGACGAAACTGGCATGAATGAAAGTACCTTGCTTCCAACAAGTCTTGCGATCTCGGACATTTGCAGGTACGACTGAGCAAGTCTTTCCTGTGACCAAGTACAATTAGTGTGGCGAAAAGCTTCTCTTACCTGCGCCTGATAAACATATGAGCAAGCTGTATTGAAGTTGTGAAGCAAGTAGCCGATTTCTTCGGCATCAGCTGCAAACTGCGCGGCAAGTTGCTGCGCCTAAACAACAGTGGGGCGTGAGTATAAGAAAACGAGCGTTAAGCATACGTGCGGCGCATTAGACATGGCTTCCTTGAGACGCAAAAGTTCCATTGTAGAGATTCGATTATAGTTTGCAGTTCAAGCTTTCCTTGATTAAAACACAAAGCAGACAATGAAGTAATAATACTGATGATAATAACCTGTAACAGTACAAGCTTTTTATATGACATGCTAAGATAGTATATTTATGTTAAATTCTGGTCGTGGAAAACTGGAAGAAAAACTGCCGTAGCTGCAGGACTTTATGAGAGTCTATGAAATTCGCTGGCGGTAAAAAGGTGCAGTGATTCACAAAATTAGGCCAAACATAAAAAAAGACATATTTAATAGACCGCGTTTGTAACTTTTACTACAGCATCAAATGGGAAGACAGATCCCTAGGAGAAAAAATTGGCGCTGAACGGAAGTCAGAACAAATCAAGGCGACGGCTTCAAAACAGTGATAACAAATAAGTTTATGAAAACGGAATCAAGACGTGAGTTTTTGTACAAAAGGACCTTTAAATGGGTGTGTAATGATTAGTTCACAATATGAAACCGGACCAGAAACAAATAAGTGACGCTAATAAAAGTCCTCATTTCACCCATGCGTCAAGTCTACGAACACAGAGATCGGCCTACCGAACCTTCGAGAGAACTCAGCTTAGATTTATGGAGGAATCAGCAAGTAAACCCAACTTGGAGCAGTCAAAATTTGGGTAAGTGGTTAGTTGTAAAAAAAACTGAATCAAATAGTCCAGCATAATTCAAGAATCGTTGACTGAAGTTTAAAATTCACACACCTAAATCACAGGGAGACTAAATCTAAATGCCTCACCGACAAAAAAATCAACAAAGTACTCCGAAAAGTTTATAATTCAACTTAAAGAAAGCCAACTTGAATAATCACGAAACCCAAGTTTCTCAAGAATCAATCCTTTCCGTTAAATTATTTTTGGTCGTTATTGGTTGGGAAGTGGAATTCATCCTCTAATGCGGTTTATTCAATGTCTCAAACCGGACAGATTAGTTGCAACTTTACGCCACTAGTTCTCATCTCCTGTTTATAGTTTTTAACCATTCTGACAATTACAGTAAAGCTTCGGCGTTCATTGACACTTAAAGAATCGAGTAGAACTTCTTTAGTGCTGTATAATAGGCTACCCAGTGGGTTAACATAATCAAAATTCTTGCTTCATTTAAGGAAAAAAACCCACAATTACAGAATAGTTTGACCAAGATTTGTGTATCAGTTATCTAAATTGCTCCCACAGACCGAGACAGAAAATTGCTTAAATGAATGCTTTGATATACAGTCAGAGTTTTGACATTTGTAAAAATAGGCGTCAAGTCACATGGGATTCACGTGACGATAGTAGATCCGAATAGTGCAAGATTATTAACATATGGACATCAACAATTAAAACAGCCCTAAACGTGCTTACACACTGGAAATCAATAACTTAATTCGCAAATGCTGACATGAACTTATAAAAGGAGAAGGAATAAAACGCACCGTAGAATTCCCGAATAAGAGCCAATCAATGTCAAGCTATAATAATTTAACTGTGCACGTTTTTGAGCACCTAGACGAAACACATTGAGGAACATCGGTTTATGATTGAGAGATAAAATACAAAAATTAATTTTTTATATTAAATTATTGCTGGCGGAATTATTTCAGTGAGGACGAAACTGTCGAATTAAAAAATAATCGGGTCTGCTAGAACGCCATTCTGACCCTAATTAAGATGCCCAAAGACAATGCTTATTTTAGCGTTCATCAGTCAAATTGGTCATAAAGTATCGTGTAATTTATTTAAGTTTTGAGTATATCAATTCAAAGCGACGTTAAATTTCCCTACAAGACCACTGTGAATCCAGTATTAACAATCTTAAAACTCATAAATTTGGGTAGTTTTGGGTATTTTGGCAGTTCCGCCCAAAATTTATATTTCATTTATCCTGCGTCAACCAAGCCACTAACAGTTCTGCCTTTTTGAGTCACGAGGCAATGAGATTCTAAACCAATTATATTTTTTTCTTTCAGTCTTAATTGGCTTTACTTAACAATGCTTACCAACTTCCATGGTTCAACGTAACATTGTTAGTGGAAGGCAAAAACGTGATGTGGGTGGTTTTTTAAACTAAAACCTTCTTCAGGTCACTCGATTTTTCAAATGATCAAATGGAAGCCAAATTTATGCGCCTTTAAACATTCCAAATTATGATCAATTTTTGTGTCGGGGGTCAAGTTAAAGCCAAAGATTTTGTTTTTTTAATCATACTATTTATTGGTTTATTTTTTGCACGTTGGCAAATCTTTCTAGACCTATTTTCCTACAATGTTCTTGTGGTGACTATTTAGTATAGTTATAATGGAACAAAACTCGAATATACTCAAAAACGTTTCCTGCATTCGTGAACCTTGCTGAAATCGTTCTCAACTTTTGCATATTTTCGAAAACAATTCATCCCATGCTTTTTTCTTCCAGAGCCTCAACTAGGGCCTATTTGAGCAACAATGGGCTCTATCATGTAATACTGTTTGTCATATTCTAGAACGCATCGTGCAAATAATTCAGCAGACAAGATTTGGTAACTTTTGACGTCTGTTTGTTACATTAAAAACTTATGCAACTTATGTCCTTATGCAATATTTTGACCTGGTAATCAACAATATCACAACTGTTTGCGAAACGTTGTGTGTAATTATATCAACGTATAAAGTAACCCTATATTTGGGCTACACCGTGAGAAGTAGTATGATGAAAGTAAAAAGCATGTTTAAGTTCCGTGTATTTAATCACAACGCATGATGACGCTAACTCTTCCTATTACTTTAAATAATACTTACATCATGAAAAGAGCTTTCCAGTAATTAGAGGCATGGAAATACTAGAAAACAATGGAGTATATTGAACAGTAAAACAGTTTCAGATATTTACTTCAATACATTTTAACTACTAAGACCCCAACTCCATCTTCGATTGAAGGTGCATCAACGAACCAGACAAGGGTTTTGTCGCAAATTCATACCAGGAACAGAATGCTCATGAAGCAGCATCCACCCACCATCACGATTTCATTTAAAAAGACCCGCTATTTAGACTGTTTGTTATCCAAGCCAGACTTGAATGTCGTTGCGATGAGTCGACTTTGAAAAGTAGGCGTCGCAATTGTTGAATGAAATATGTCAAAGTAGTAAAGTAAAGCTGCTGTGAGAGTTCAGTTTTAATATATAAAAAAATTAGTGTCTAATTATTAATTTGTAGACTTAGGTAGTCCACCCATTATGCAAGACAACGGCCAAAGTACACACGGACCTGATACGGCTAGAGCACTTTACTGCATGCAGGCTTGAGGGCCGGCACGCGAGCGAGTGTTCAAATAAACACGTAGAAAACAGCAAATCCTCACAGCCCACCCACGGGTGGATTAATAGGGCCTTGCCTCCAGAGGTGCTAGTCGAAAACATGAATTAGGACATAGCTCCACATGGTGTAGATTTTGTGAGCCATCTCTTGAGGGCATAATTGCCTCCACAGATCCTACCACCCGGATCTTCCCTGTCAACAAGTAGAATTTCAAAACTGACCCATATGTGCACAATCTACGCAATATCTTCTTGTAATGGCTTAAATAATCAAGGGATTCTATGTTAGAGAAGCCAGGCTAATGTTCTAAACACGAGGCATTGCGTTTGTGATTAGGGACTGTGACCACTTCGCTCTAGCCAAACTTTGTCCGTTTTAGCCCTCGCAGAAGAGCGTGTTTTTTGACATCGCGCTTAACTAATGAACCGGAAAGTGTGTGCTTTGTGCATTTGTATAAGTCGCACCATTGAGCACGATACTTTCATACAAAATTAAATACAAATTCCTACACTCAACTAATTGGTTACTTGGACCCAGGTCATTGAGGTCTCGTGCTGTAGAAACCCCGGTCTGTGCACACGACGAAGGCCAACAGCTTGAAATATGCAGCAGTTTCTTAGTAGAGTCCTTCGCAAGCCTTTGGCATGTTGTCTTCACAACCAAAGCTTAGTGCTCATTTAAGGCAATAATTGTACTTTACTGCACTGGCATTTATCAGCATAGTATATTGGGGGCATGTCATAAAGTGCAATCATGACGAAACACGCATACAAGGTTTTGGTCGCTTCTTAGACTAGTGCAAAGTTAACTGGGTTCATTATTAAAGTGCAGTGGAAGTATTCCTCCAACTATATTTGGCAAAAAAAGAAATTTGAAAGCCATCTAGGCACTCCAGTGTACTCTCATGGCTCACTTTTTATTAGAACTCAATAAGATCAAACTAACTCAAGTTACTATCTTAACACAACCTCTTTTAATTGTGGAAGCAAAGTACAACCAAGGTTTCCCCTTGAGAAAGCAGTTTTCAGAAGAGATAAAAACATCACTAAAGGTTTCCTTTATCGCAAACCTAGTCAGAGGATCCACCAAACCTTTCATTGCAAACCACTTAGCAACTCGATGCTCTATCGCAAGAAATATTTGCTCTCTTCTTGCAGAATTTTAACATTGAATTTACTGTCCAGAGCCTAAAATAACCTGTTGTTGCAGCCTTGCTCGGATGAAGACGGATATGAACGGCAATGTGAATTGCCTTAATGCAAGACGGGTTACTTAGCATTTTAATAAATCAAGGACCACTTTCTGATCACCACTGCTACTAACCAGGTCATGTTAGCAGCCCATTCACCGTGCAATTTCCCGGACACTTTTAAATTTTGTTAGGAAATTATCAGGAGGTAGGTGAGTCTAACGCAATTTCTTATCAAAACATCACACTAGCCCACTCCGATTAATTACGTACCTTTACAGGAATTGTTCACCTCTTTGCAAACACCGCCTTCCAGTTACGGTGGGACATAGAGACTGTGGTTCGGGTAACTCTACGCATTTTGGTAATAATTTGGTGAAATTGAAGACCAAAATCGACAAGATGGCCCTTAGGATTCACGAGCTGTCATTCCTGTTTTATTTAGCTTGCAATTAATTGCAGCGTGCCTCACTAACTTGCCAAAACACCAACACGCAGAAGCAGAA